GAAAAGAAAAGAAAAGAAAAGAAAAGAAAAGAAAAGAAAAGAAAAGAAAAGAAAAGAAAAGAAAAGGTTGGGGGAGGTAGGGGAGGAAAGATAGGAGGGAGAGGGAGAGGGAAAGACGGAGGAAGAAAGAGTGAGATTGATTAAATGAAGGGGGCTAATTCTGGAGACGGGCCTTTCCTGCTGCCCTACTAGACCCCATACAGAGGCTGCTCTTTCTTTGACCCTTTCAACCCTAGTAACACTGAAAAGCCCGACCCTAAAAAGACTTTTCCTTTCCCATTGAGTTCTTTTTATAATCTCGATATTTAAAGGCATTAAATGAATTAGTCAAGTTTATGAAGTTACTCTACATTAGAGCTCATTTTTGTTATGTTACCATTTCCCCTAACTGACAAGAGTGTGCTAGTATTAATTTTTACTCTCCACAATTTTGTTACTCTTCAAACATTGCATATAAATTGATATCCAGGTCAAGGAATCCTGAATACTTTCATAGATATATATTTAATTAAAATTACGACTTCCATTGTTGCAGGTGTGGGCCTCCTTCAGTCATTTAAGCTCTCTAGACTTTATTTTTCCTACTTAAAAAAAAAAAAGCCAGGGGAAATGCTACTTATGCATAAAACACTTTGAGCTCCCCAGATGAAAGCCCGCATATATAAGTGTGATGCGTGTTTATTGCCTCTTCTCTGATGAAAAGTGGCAGCCTTCTGCTTGAAATGGGATTAGAAATTCTGACTATAACAGAGAAGAGAGAAGCACAAATGAGTAACAAGCAGTCAGAATAAATAAAATTGAAAAGATGGAGAGCACTCCTTTTACAAAAGGAACATCAGTTGTGAAACTTGTGGTTTAATTTGGTATGCTTTCCACTTTTAAAAAATTGGGCTCAACTGCATGTATAATGAGCAACAAGCAGAAGGTACATTCAGTAGTACATGAATAAAAAATGACCTTTTCATTTGCTCTTCCGTAGCCTGGCATTCCTATATTATTAAAATATAATGTATTAAAGATTAAGTAAGCATATTAGCATACAGACATCATACTTATGTGGCCATGGATACGAGGGCTATACAACATAAAGCTAGAAATCCAGCTATATAAAATTCATATTTTTAAAAGTATAGGTATCAATTAAAAAGAACACAAACTTTTCTAACAACAAAGTTGGCAATTCTACCAAGGATGAAAAAAAAGGAATGAGAGGAGAATCCCCAAAGTGAGCCACAAATAAGAATCACAAACTATTCAACAGCTGGGAGTAAGCTGGATTCTATGTTCTAGGGAACATATTAAATAGATAAACTCCCTAGCCTAATGAACCTAGTATTCTCAATCTAGGATTTAAAATGCTAAGGCAATTTTCATGCCAACATTTTGGAGGGGGACAATAGCCATTTATTAAATATTCTTCTGGTATTTATTCTAAATTTTCTATGGCTTATTTTCCTTTCTCACTTTTTCTTTTTGACATTATAACATACAAATTTATAGAATATTAAGATTGCACAAAGGAGTGACTGCAAAAACATAAAAACATAAAATTACTACATTTCCAAAGGACAGGGCTTTCTTTTCACCTCATTATTATGTAAGCAATACAGGTTCATAAAAGAAAAGTTAGAGTTCAGGAAAATAAAAAGAAAAAAGAAATAATCCTATGAGTCTAATGCAGTCACCAGTCACTGCTTATATATTTCCTCTTATTGTTTTCTAATAATGTAGCTTTTTGTGTTTGTGTATGTGTGGGTTTTTCTCTCTTTTATCTCATACACTGTTGGAGACACAATGTTATATCACGCTGTTTTCAGTTAGTATGTCAAGAAACATTTTACACCCAAAGCATGCGTTTCTGTTTTATTTAAAGTTCATTTTTTCATTTCAAAAAATTGCTTTATCCATCACAGTGGAAAGTTGACATTCCCCAGAACTTTGTCATTTGTCCTACAGACTGTTCCCCAATGGCTTGAGAAATGATGGTGATGGTCTTATTTGGAACACTCTGAGAAAAGGAGATGCTGCAATGAATTGGTTATCTAAACCTAGAGAGGCACCATCATTTCTCCTAGTCAGCTATTCAAGAATTTAGCCTCCTGTCTCATTTACAAGCAAGCCTGAGGTGAGGTTCAGTACAAAGCATAGGCCATTCAGTAATCTTAGTTTAATGTGGCTTTTAAAGACCTGAACTGTCAATCCCCTACCTTCACGGCCTCTCATTCTACTGTTTTCACTTGAGGAGATAAGAAGCCCAGTCTTTGAACTATATTCCTAATCTGTCACAGTCGTGAGTGAATGATCTGTATGTTTACCCACAATGCAACCATGTATTAGAAATTCCTTCATGCATGCATTCATTGAAATGAATAAAATTCTTTCCTAAGTTTAAGAAAATAGGTAAGACAAAAATCAAACAAAGAGGGAAACTAAATTGAAAAGTTGATGGAAGAAGCAAACCCTTGCTTTTAAAATGATGTAAATATGAAACAGGCATTTATAACAGATATGTCTTTCTTGTTTTCCCTGCCATTCTCCTGCATAAAAAGCAACAGTGATTTTTTAAAACAGTTTGCTATGAATAAAATTTATCATCTACTGATGCATTATTTCTCACTTTCTTTTTCATATTATCTCTCAGAGATAAATGGCAATAACAAAGACATTAAAATGACACTAAGAACAGCTTTTTATAGTTTTAATTATTTTTTCCTTTTTGGCAATAAAAATGATGTGGTATGTTTGCATGTGTTATATATTGAGAAGCAATAATACTGTTTAAATATTCATAATTGTGGAGATAGTTTTTACTTGATAATTTAAATATGAAATAGATTGCTTCTGGTCCCTAATATTACGGCCCTGTTTATTAATATATATTGCAGGCACACCTATATTTATGTCAGTCAATCATTTACCATGCTCTTTATTCTACTCTGAAGTATTCTCCACACAGATAATATTCTTTTATGGGTCCATCAAGTTTCACTTTCTGAGAAATAACTTCACAATTTCTAATGTAGATAATGAGCACTCATTTTCCTACTTCTCTTGGAATCTGAGCTCATTTTAGTCTATGAAATAAAAACTAAACTTCAGGGCAAGGGAGATCCTGATGGGTGGCAAACAACATGTGCACCCAGCCCTCCAACAGTCACAGAGCAGACATGGCATCTATGGGTGGGTGCCCAGCGGGGGCATGGCAGGCCTCTTGAGGATGACACTTCACCTGGGTCGGCAAAGTTGGGACCTAGTCCTCAGTACTCCAGGAATGATTTTGTGCTTTTAGGGAAACTGAGAAGTCTATCTGGGATACACTCATGAAAACTCAACTCCTATAATGCTACCTTACCAATTTAAAATGACACTTTTCTGAAATGCAAGCGGACTCCCTGGCCTGGTCAGATGGGTGCATTCTCCCCCACATGGAAACTTACAGGTCAGAGTTTGTGAGATGGACAGTTAGACCTAAAGGGCTTGGAGTTCTTATTTCAGGGTTCCTGGGCTTAACAGTTTGGGGCAGTCTTCCTTCCCGCACCTTTCTTCCATCAAAGGTTCTCACCTGGCCTGCTTCTTTTTACTTTTAATTTTAAACATCCTATCTATTTTTAGATATATATTTTAAGAGAGATTACATTTAAATGATACAGCTGTAAGACAGTGAAAATGAAGTCAGACTCCCCCACTCTTCTATCCCTAAATGCCCTGTTTCTCTCCCTGGAGGCTAGCTATCTACCCTTTAGCAATTTCATGAATAGCCTTCCACAGATAACCTATGCATTTACAAATATACGCCATATGTGTGTATGTGTATATATACATGGGTAAGTTATATATATACATATTCATATGTATGTGTATATTTATAGTTTGTCTCCCATAAATAGCAGTGCATACATGCTGTTTCTGCATTTCCCTCTTTTTTTTTTTTCTTTTTTAATAGCTGAGTCACAAGATCATTGGGAGAACTTTTCTTTGGACATTTTACCAACTTCTGTATGTTTTGTTTTTGTTTTTTTTTTGTGTTTTTTTTTGTTGTTGTTATTTTGCTTTGTTTTTTGTTATTTGTTTTTTTTTGTAGAGCTACCCTGATTGTGTTTTTGTCCTCTAACTATGTCTTAGATAAATTTAGTTCTCCTTCTACTGGTGTCTTGGGCTTTTCTTTACTTACTCTTTTTCTGTCTTTGACAGTTAAATACTTGGACTTTATCCCCTGAGATGTATCTACTTATCAAGACAAGTTCTGCAGGAGAAATATCTAAATCAACCTCCAATATTAGTGGGACCAGAAAGTCTGATGGTAATTTCCCAGTGATCTTTCAGTTCTTTTTTTTTTAACCTGAATAAAAAAAACATGCTTATAAATTACTTACATAGTTGGACTATATACCTCTCTAGGTATCTTTGACTAGAAACTAATTTCAGCTTTTAAGAGGCCTAGACCATCTGAGATCATTCTTTTAATCCTAATGAAAATGTATAATGCCTAAAAGAAAGATGCATTTTACTTTTAAACTTCTCATACAGAACTTGTTAGTTTTACATTGTACATACAGATAACACATACAGTAAGCATCCTTAAATATTATTTTACACACACGGTTATTTGTTAGATAAGTACCTCAAAGTAGAATTCCAGGTCAAAAGGTATACACATTTTTTACTTGGAAAGTATTGCCAAGTACTTTCTCATATTTTATAATGGTAAAAACTTGAAATTCGAAAACACAATGTAGCAATTGACCCTTTCCATGTTGTGACTATAGAATGATTTACTATGAATTTTTACAGAGGAGGAAGACAATTCAAAATTAATAAATTCTGCTTCTAGTTAACCTCTTACTCTCGAAGCTAATAATTCAAGGTATATGTTTGATTCCTACCCCTAGATAGGAAAGCAAGAAAACTACTTGGATTGAACCTGAAAGAAAGGATTTTAAATCTCAGTTTTAAAAGAGTCCTTCTTTCCAGTAGCCTTCAAATTGAAGGGCAAAATTCCTCTCAAGGAAGAGGTGATGAGGAAAAAAAAAAGAAAAAGGAAAAGAAAAAAAATGAGAAAAATGAAATAAAACCACCAGGACTTGAGCTAGAAATCCTATGGTTACCAATACATCTCATATGAGAAAGGAAGGGCTACCAAAGAAAAAATGGACAGTACCTGAGGAACGAATGGCTTCATAAGGAGACAGAGAACTACTGAAAGTCAGGTTCCTGGCAGGGATTTTTACTTTATACCGTTGCTGATGAGAACGTCTTCCAAATGCTAAGAAGGGAAAGAATGGAAGAGAAACTGGGCAGACCTAGGCTCTGAAACTCAAAATGCTTTTCCTGGGGGACATCATGAAATTGATTATAAGGAGGGTTATGAAATCTTAGAAATCACTCAAAGTCTGCAAACTACTACTGTTTGTTATTAACTAAGTCGCTATGTTGGCCAATGAAAGAAGCATTTTAAATCTCTAAGACATAATAACCATTAATGTTAATTTATGTAACAGGTAAGTTAAATATATAGATTATCTTTTAAATCTTTTTTTACTTAAGAAGGTGCCTGGGTGTCTCAGTCAGTTAAGTGTCTGACTTCAGCTCAGGTCATGATCTTGCAGTCCATGAGTTTGAGCCACGTGTCAGGCTGTGTTGACAGATCAGAGCCTGGAACCTGCTTGGATTCGGTGTCTCCCTCCCTCTCTGCCCCTCCCCTGCTCAGTCTCTCTCTCTCAAAAATAAATAAAAATTAAAAAAAAAAAAAAGAAGTTTGGCATATAGGGGTACCCAGGTGGCTCAGTTTGTTGTGCAACTGATTTGATTCCAACTCTTGATTTCAGCTCAGATCGTGATCTCATGGTCATTAGACTGAGCCCCACAACAGGCTCCACACTAGGTGTGGAACCTGCTTGAGGTTCTCTCTCCCCCCATCATTGCCCCCCCATTCTCTCTTTCTCTCTCTCTCTCTCTCTCTCTCCCCCCTCCCTCCCTCCCTCTCTCAGAAGAAGAAGAAGAAGAAGAAGAAGAAGAAGAAGAAGAAGAAGAAGAAGAGGAGGAGGAGGAGGAGGGGGAAGAGGATGAAGAGGAAGAAGGAGAAGAGGCAGCAGTAGTAGTGGTAGTAGTTTGGCATATATACTTGGCCTGGTCTCATGCGTACATGTACATGACCCCACCATCGTATCACATACTTAAAATAAAAGCATTGATCATAGTACTTGCTTCGGCAGCACATATACTAAAACCGGAACAGTACAGAGAAGATTAGCATGGCCCCTGCACAAGGATGACACAGAAATTTGTGAAGCTTCCATGTTTTTTTTATATATACAATGGAATACTACTTGGCAATGAGAAAGAAGGAAATCCTGCCATTTGCAGCAACGTGGATGGAACTGGAGGTATTATGCTAAATGAAATAGTCAGGCAGAGAAAGACAGATACCATATGTTTTCACTCATATGTGGATCCTGAGAAACTTAACAGAAGACACTGGGGGAGGGGAAGGGGAGAAAGAAAAAAAGTTACAGAGAGGGAGGGAGGCAAACCATAAGAGACTCTTAAATACTGAGAACAAACTGAGGGTTGATGGGGGTTGGAGGAGAGGGGAAAGTGGATGATGGACATTGAGGAGGGCACCTGTTGGGATGAGCACTGGGTGTTGTATGGAAAACAATTTGACAACAAATTATATTTAATTAAAAAAAAAAAGCATTGATCATAGTAATTATAATCTCCATTCTAAAGTGACTTCAAACAACTGTATAATTCTTGGGAACTATAATGCAATCTTTTAAATTAACTATATATGAATTTTCCTGAATAAAGCAGGTTTCAAGTGTATAATTTGTATCTAAAATTTGAGGCCAGTGTCAAAACTTTAAAGTGTTCTTTTCATTATGTATCATTTTGGAAAGTGAACAACTGCAATTTTTCTCCATTTTATTATCTGCTTTATAAACTTGGATATTTTCACAAGGCTATCACCTGTTTTATAATTACACTGTTTACCTGAAGTAGGATTTAAGAATTTCTCACTTTTATTCTCAGTTATTCAAAACACAACATATATGCCTTTAGAGTATGGTTTTCTGATTCATATATGGAAGTAAATGAGATAATTATATCTTACATTAAATAAAGCACTGGATCTTGAAAATAAGCGTGAGCATATAAGTGTAAAATCTAAATAAGCATTTAAAGCAAAAATAAATTATACAAATGGATTATTTAGTTTATCTTCTAAAAAATTAAATTATTAATTTTCTTCTTAGATGTACAATAAAGCAAGGTCATGGTATCATATAACTCTGAATCTAGACTATGTTTTAAATAGATGTCCTAAAAGACATAACTAGATTATATCTCATTGAATAGGTATTCTAAAAGGAAAGTGGTGGATATCAGTAATAATTTAAATAACAGAAAAACTTGTTATCATAAGAATGTGGGGGGGGTTATACACTAACTAGACGGTCTGTCTGAGTCATGTAAAATAGACAATACCTACCTCTTATGATTACATTGTTATATGTGTACTTTTTAAAACCTTCCGTCCAGGACCATATATATCATTGCATTCCTATTAGCAGGCACCAAATCTCATAAATATTAGTAGCTCAATAAATGATCATTCACTGAATACTGAATAAATGAATTGACTATAACATTCAAGTTTCAGTTAAAACATGCAAAGGCACTCCTAAAGTAAGTGGTAAAATAAGAAAAAATACTTTTTTATGTGACTAGAAAGTGAAAACTTAAAGGAATAATTATAATCACTAGAAAATTAGTTTCTGTAATCTTCGAGCTTAAGGGCCTCTACGTTCCATGAGCCCTTCTAAGGCCTGGGAGCAATCCTTGCATTGTATTTGCCTGGTCATATGTTCTCATAAATTTTTTGTATGATATTTTAACTATGACTAAGACTACTGCACATTTAGAATTCAAGTTTTTTGTTTATAATTTTGTGTTTGATTTCTTAAGGAACGGAGGGAAAGTTGTAAACCTGAAGGCTCTACTGACTGGGCTGTGCTCCTCCACAGTTTCCTACCACCCAGAGCCGAGTACACCTTAACACAAGAATTGAAACTGAACCAACAGTGGGTCAGGAAGTCCAGATTTAGTGTACATTCATAAATATTTGTCACTGTAGAAAAATAAAAATATGACCGATTCTAAGTTAACAGGCGAGCACAGTATTCTGAAATACACTTTATCATCTAACAGATCACGTGGTGAGATTCCAATCATGTATCAGCACGTGTTCTCAAACTGCAGTCTTCTTTACTGGCAATTATGCTTGGACATTTATTGACAGATAACAGCTGCTCTAGTACCTCACTTATTTTACTTCATGTGTTGACATTTCCCATTTCCTCATATTTTCAGAAAGCCTAGAGTACTTGAAGAAAACAGACACTTTGATATTACTTCTTAAATCTTTTATGTTTCATTCAACATGTGAAAATATCATAAAGTTGCTAATTCCTGCCTCTGTGATCTAACATGTCTCATTTAAAAATGTATAGCAATTAAAATACACATATAGCATTCAAGTTGCAGATAAATGTTTTGACATGCATACTCTACCAAAATATCTAAAGTCAACTATCATGAAAACACCGTGAAATACTTTGAGCCAATGATGCTTTTGTTAAAGCACAGCACACAAAAAAAAGTTCTCTTTATACAAATAAAATATAAATACTCCTAATTGCTCACAGACTTTTTCTGACAAGTGTTAGTCCAAAACGAATATTTATAGTCTATGCTGAGCAATGAATGCCTGGAAAATAGCATTCACAGTGCAAACACTGACAGTTTTAACCAAAAAAACAAAATAAAACAAAACAAAACAAAAAACAAACAAAAAACCCACACCAAAACAACAAAAAACCCAAAAAGCAAACTTGTACATTGGTGCTAACTAATGGGGCAACTGAAATACTCTCGGCCTTGAAAGGATGTAAGAAAATATTTCAAGAACATCTGATTCCGCTGAAAATAAGATCATTAGATTTCTTCTTAAAACAAACGCCTGAAGGTGTGAGTGTGATATTTTACACCCACACCACACATACAACCATGATCTACAGCAAGGAATATTTTGATCCTTTTCATGTGACATTTTGTTACTTGGGGAGTAGAAGAGAAATATGAAAAACTGACACGGAGAAGATGTCCTAAAATGTACAAATGAATCATGTTTACTGCAGCTATAACATCATTTGTTTTTCCTCCCTGTGCTATGTTATACCTACATTTAATGAGTGATTTTGTATTTTAAAGGGGGAGATATTAAGGATTTAAGGACTTAATTTAACAGTTTGGCTATTCAAGAATGCTTATTTTTTATTCTGAAAATAGAAACCTTAAGGACATACCTTTTTTTAAGTCAAAGAAGATAAGGAATATGAGTGATGTCTGTGTATAAAGAAAGAAAAAGGGAAAATCAGTTTTCAAGGATAATTTTGTGTTATCTCTGCTAATGTGCTTTTGTATATGCATCATGCCAACAGTATGCATACATAGAAAATAAGGGCTCATAGGACAAAGTCACAAAGAAAATTAACCTCATTAAAAAGCTGGATTTTATAACCTGTAAGTCGGGGTATCACAGAGGTAAATTTAACTTCTTACTGATCATGGAGAAAAGGAAGATTATTTTTCCTGCACCCTCACTGCCCACCTTGGACTGGGGGGGGGGTGGTTTGAAGGGTGTCATGCCCCCACGTAGCTGGAGGAAGAAATCAGAGCTGACGACTCTTTACATATATCTTTCTAATTTCAAAACCTTCCTCATGCAGATGCCTGAAATCAAGTTCTATAGTATTGATAACTGATTTTTTTTTTTCATTTTATATTCTAGATTACTAGCTATAATTATTTTGAAGTCCTCCAGTGGTCAAATAACAAAACTAATCTGTATAGAATATTCTTACAAAGAGAATTACCCATCTATGTTAGTTGCTTGATTCTTCCTTTATTGCTGTCCTAAGAGGTTTCTTTGGACATACAGCATATATTTCAAATTAAAATATTATGCATTAAAACAGCAGATTAAGTACAAGTATTTCTCCAAATAACAGATTTGTATATGAATCTACCAATGTTGGAAAATCTCAGCATAAATTAATATATTCACTATATCATTCCATTTATACTCAGTCAGGTCCTGCAAAGCCAAATTTGGCAAAAGATTCAATAACACATCCAATCACAAGGCTCTGAGCAGGTTAACGATGGTTTTCTTCAGTATTACATTCATCTCCATGAAGTGTGGCTATCTTTGAAAACTCCTGTTAAGTTCAGAGACAGTAACTTTTAAAGATACTCTTAACAGGTCTTCCCTATTACTAAAAATCTTATCTCTCATGCTAGCAAATGCAAAGAGCTTTTCATGAAAGCATGAAGAAAGAAATTGCCATAAAATGAAAACTGAAAAATTACACTGTTTTTAAGTCACCGACAGGGTTTATTTCGCAAGGGTACACTTTATCACTACAAATGCTTCGAACCCATCTCACAAGATGTATCTGCTTTCCTGCTGTTGTTTCTATTGCATAAATCAAACCAGTACTCATTAGTGTAAACTCATTAGGGTAAACCAAACCTCAATTGCAAGGATCTCAGCATTTTTGAAAACATAGATATAAAGATATCCAAATTAATGTCACTTAATTAAAAATATATAGTTTGCTTTGGACAGTTTTTACTAACTCTGATCCTTATTATCTGGACTAGTGAGATTAAGGTAATTTAGGGCTGTATAGTTCCAGAGTGCAGCAGAGCATAAAGACCTTCTAAAACAGAGAGGCCCAAACCCATAATAGCCACTACCATGTAACTAACACTGAGAAATGAATTTTAATTTGCAGCAGGAGCTTAAGGAAACACTTTGGTGTAAATAAAAGTGAATCCTTAAAAAAATAAAAAAAAATTTGGTAATTTTGCACATGAAGTGGATAAGGCACTTACATAATACCTTCTTTTTAAACCAACGAAATACAGTTTCTTGATGGAGAAAGAGCTGTCTGAGCTAATCAGAATCCAAAGCATCTTGAGATCAAAACAAAAAATCAATGTGTGAAACATTATGTGCTACTGAGATACAAATGGCACTAGCATCTTAGGTGGCACTGTTGGGACAAATTCAGTCTCCCTGAAATTCCCAAAGTGTAACTTGGCTTTGTTGCCAAAACACACATTTTAATATCCTGTTTTGAAAGTAGAAATGTAGACACTAAGAATTTCATGATCCTACTATACTCAAATGAAGTATATCTGTATGAAGTTTTCAGGTGAAAGGCAATGGAGCACAATCTGTAACAGGAACGACCTGCTTCAAGACTCAGTAACGCTGGAAAAACAAAATTCCATTTGTGTCACATATCTCACGCATAGGCTTGAAATTAGATGGAAAACTGCATCTCACTCCTGGCATCTCCAGTTGTGAAGATGACTTCAGCAAACTGCATGGGTTCCTCTCTGTCCAGTCTCAAGCTAGATCTAAACTGACACAAATCTGATTCCAAGTCACCTTCCTCATCCACAACCCCTGTGAGTAGGTGGGTGGGGACAGACATTCAGTCCTCTTCTAAACTTGCTTTGATGTCACAGAGGAAGTAGCTCTACTTCTTTGGGGAATATCCTAAGTGATGAGGGAGATAAAGGTGTCTTTTGTTATGTTAATGAGGTGGTTTTTGGTCCTGTGCCCAAGGAAGGGTCTGGCTGCCAGGAGAACCAGCCCTTGATTGGAGGGCTGTAACTTTCTGTCATTGCCCCACCACACCCCTGGAAGGGGAAAGAGGCTGGAATTTTAATCAATTCCCAGTGGCCAATGGTTTAATCAATCATGCCTATGTAATGAAGACTCCATAAAAACCTAAAAGTATGGGGTTTGGAGAGCTTCAGGGTTGGTGAACACATGAAGCTTTTGGGGACAGCCATTCAGAGATAGCATGGAAGCTCCTTGCCCTTTCCCAAGACCCTGCCCTCTGCTTCTCTTCCATCTGGCTATTATCTGCTTTTATATATCCAGAGTTATATCCTTCTATAATAAACCAATAATCTAGTAAATAAAATGTTTCTCTGAGTTCTGCGAGCTGCTCTAGCAAATTAATCAAACCCAAGAAGGGGGTTGTTGGAATCTCCAAGCTACAGCCAGTTGGTCAGAAGCACCGGTAACAGCTGGGCATGCACCTGGCATGTGAAGTAGACTGAGCCCCTCATCTATGGGATCTGATGTTATCTCTGGGTAACTGGTATCAGAATTGAGTTGAACTGCAGGACATCCGGCTGGTGTCAGAGTACTGCTGGGTGTGACAGAGATCCCCAAACACTGAAATTGGTGGTCAACCTTACCTACTCATTCTAGACTTGACCATTTTTTCTCTCTTATTCTTCTGTCCCAACCTTAGTCAGCCTCTCGATGCCTCTGTGTTTCTCAAATTCTAAAAGGAACTTCCCTTATTCTACTTTACTGTGAAATCATCGTCACACATGTTCCTGCCCTTCGTGGTTACAGGCCAAATCATTTACACTTGCTGTCCCTTCTGTTTCTCTTTCATTTACTCCTTGGTACATTCTAATTCAGTTTCTCTTCCCTACATTTTAGAGTACAACTCCAGTAAAATTGCCTATCACAGAATTTCCTAAATCAAAAATCTAGAACAGAATCTCATCTTTTTTTTTTTTAAATTTTTTTTTTTCAACGTTTATTTATTTTTGGGACAGAGAGAGACAGATCATGAACGGGGGAGGGGCAGAGAGAGAGGGAGACACAGAATCAGAAACAGGCTCCAGGCTCTGAGCCATCAGCCCAGAGCCTGACGTGGGGCTCGAACTCAGGGACTGCGAGATCGTGACCTGGCTGAAGTCGGACGCTTAACCGACTGCACCACCCAGGCGCCCCCAGAATCTCATCTTAACACAACTTCCACAATGTCCGGATTTGCCAAAACTCATTGATGAAACTGTCTTCTCCCGGGCAGCCATCAGATTGGTTCTTTTCCTATCTTCCTGATTATTCTGAGTTTCCTAACACAATGTTGGAGATGTTTCCTCAGCTCCCTTGAATGGAGTGACCTTATCTATTGCAAGTGATGGGTACATGACTCTGCCTGAATGACTCCCAAATGCATCCCAGGCCCTGAGCTTTATTCTTAATCTTTATGCCCTCAACACATCTCTACATACACTTTGAGATTCAACTTCTCTGAAACCCGTTCATCATCTTTATCTCCTTATACTTCAACCTAGATAAAGCTTTAGACAGCTCATTTGAAAAAAATCTAATGAGTTTTAAAAAATCTTATTAACACCCCAAACTCTCACAATACATTGTATAAATGAGAGAGCTATTACTACAAATCAAGTACGACCAACAGCAAGTCAAAAACAGTTACACAGTCATGATCTGCAGAAACTCTCCCAGAAGGTATGACATGGAAGTCCTCAGCCATATCTTGATCCCAACCACTAATAACACT